AAATAAGGATCAGCTTTTAGCATTGCTTGGACTTCCTCAGGTGTTCTCATTCTAAAACGTGTTTTATGAAGCTTTCTGAATGCATGAGCACATGCAGTTATACTATCACCACCACACTGTATTAACAGCAAATGTAATACAGGCATATAACATAACAGCACATAATTTATATCTGTGGGAAATAAATTAAGAATATGGCTTCAAAGACTTTGCCAAGGTCACCCAGGGGAAGAATGGAAATTCCTATAGTTGCAGAAAATCTAACGCACATTCCCAAGAACCTAAGAATTACGCCTTCACTCATTTTTTTGTTATATACCACAAATAAATTTATTAGAACATATCACCTTAAAAAGTTAATTTGACATTCTTCTACCACTAACAGAACATGTGGCTAAAGTTACAAATAGTTACAGAATAACTGCACGATGCTACAAACAACCTTCTAAACCAGCCTACCTTAAACATTTCAAGTAGCGTTTCCTTCTTAACTTCCAGCCTTTCAAAGGCTTGTTTTTCCTTCATTATCTTTTTGCATAATGTTTCCAAAGCAGAGAAGTCATTACTTGATACACCCCTAAAATAAACACACACATTCTTGCTTTCACTTGCAATTTCTGATCCAGTTGCAATGCAGTAGCTTGTGGATGGGGGACACTGCAAAGAACGAATCAACCTGCAGTAGTGCAGATGACTTTGTTTCGGGAACAAGCAGGTAACAGAAATTTTGCTGTGACTGCCATCCCCCTGCTCCTAAAAAGAACAATACAAAACCTACCCTTCCTCAAGGAACATGTCATAATAAAATCCATTTTCTATTGGCGGGCCATAGCACAAACAGCCACCATAGATTCTCTCCATAGCTTCACCCATTATGTGAGCACTTGAGTGCCAGTATACCTAATGGAAGTAAAAGAGAAGATCAGTGTGAATATGCACAATACATTTCTGAGTATTTTATTTAAAACCTCTTCCAAAATGCACACTTTTAACGATACTTGATGCAGATCCCACATTAGAGCAGTCTGCAGAACAGAAGCAACCTGCCCAGCAACACTCTCATCCTAAGCACCAGTACTTCCAAAAGGTAACACTGGAAAATTGCTTACAGCCTGGTAGTAAATAATTCTTGTTTTCAGCTACTGTTGAAATGATTCAATTATTGTCAAGAAGTCAAGAAATTAATTCATAAACTTTTTTTTCTATGAACTTCAATCAATCAGCTCTACATAAAGACCAAAAGGTATGCTTTCAACGTAAGGCTGTGGTCCTACTCCAAAGATTTTATACATGGGAAATCCTGCTCTGAAGTAGAACAGTTCATAAAGTTAAAAATTACACTCCATCTTGTAGTACACCTCAAGTTTTGACAAATTAAAACTAAATCTATAGGGCTTCAGTCTGCTTTTACTTGCACAGACCAGAAAACACAAATCTTACAGGAGCCATTTAGCCAATATGAAAACCCTAAGTTTGAATGCAAAACCTCTGTGATGAGTTTGACTGACAGCTTCCTGTACCAAATTATTTTTTCTAAAGATAGCATTTACAAATTTACTGGATATCCACATTTATCTGAATGACGAGCCAAAATGAAGTACGTACTTTTGCATATTAAAAGTAAAAGACCAGCCTACCCAGAACTTTTATGATTGAACAGACAGTACTTAGTATTGTTTTCAAAGTCAGTGCTGAAGAGGCTAGTTCAAAAGACCTACTTTAAATTAGCATGAAGGTTGCAAACATGAAACTTTGGCAAGAAACTTGACATGAACTACAACAATTGCTAGCAGACTCGATTACAAATACACAGCAGAACGTACATTACCTGCAGTACCACATCTCCCTTGTAAGGACCTACACAGCAAACTCGTTCCCATCTCCTCATCTTTTGAACACAGTAAAGATGCAAATAACTACTTGAGGCTGAGTTTAATGCAAATTCAAGGGCAAACAAATTTTGGCAGAAGATACTCACTGCTTGAGCCTCTTCATCTTCAAACTTAAGCAGCTCCAGGGTACAATCCTCCTCCAAAGGACGGTCTAGATCCCAAACCATCTTGTTCACTTTAGCAATAACAGTGTTGTCAGCTAGGCCCTGACTACAGAATAAATACACAGCATATAATCTTCCGAAATCAGCAAGTAGAAGTTCCCCAGATTTGCCCTCCATGTTGAACAAGATTTTCAAGAGTGCTCAGAGTGGGTACAATGTCATAAATAAATTCCAAACAAATAAGCAGTTTAGCCAGTCTTGAATATTTATGAAAATCCTAATCACATGTCAGAGATGAGGCAAGAAAACTGTGCTGTACACCCGACATTCATACATTAACTTATTAGACTTAGAGGCAGCCACCTCAAAGTACTAACCTGTCTTCAAAATCTTATTGCAATAAAAGACAGAGCTTCTCTTCTAAAAATTATCAAATACCATTTCTAATGTAGTAACTTCACAGTTGTTCAGGCAAAAAAAAACCCTTTCCTTAATCTCAAAACCCTTTCCTTGATCTCAAATCACAAAAGGAAAAAAGGTTCCAATGACAAGGCACCTGAGCGTGGGGAAAAAAGGCATTTCACCTCTAGGAATCACCCAGTTTTTGTAATTTTAACTGTTAGGGTGTCCAGTGTGCATTGTTCAAACCTACTCCACAGCAAATTTGAATAACCCAGAGATGTGCAATGCTCTTTGTGATGGGTATCTTCCATTGAAGTAAAAATGCAGTTAAGTGAAAGACGGTCATACTGTTAACTCTCTCTGAAATCAACTGAAACATCATCCAGCAGCCATCTTCCCCAGGATGATGCAAATTAGTTTGCATGTGCTAACATTCAATCTGTTAGAGTAAATGTATTAGCAAATTGGTTCTTAATGCAACAGCAATACTTGCAGGGAAAAATATGCAAGTAACGTGTGACTAAAAGATCTGTTATATTCTTACTTAATTTTAGAAATTGTATCTTCATAAGGCAAAAAAATTACACTCCAAAACTCAGACCCTATTGATTACCTTCAGCTTATTACAAACAAGATGACTTGAGAAGAGTGGAAATAAATGACTAACAGAGAAATTACACATTACCCACACCCTCACAGCTGCAACCTGCAGACATAGAGCTGTCTGAAAATGATTGAGTGTATCACAGCATAGAATCATACCTAATTCCACAAGCGATTTGATAAGGAGTAGTCTTCCAGGACTCAGCATCAACCTGCTTGCCATCAGGTAATGTAACTTTAATGGGTTTACTGTCATTTGCAGCTCTTTCTGCGAGGAGTGCATCATGTTCAGCTTTGAGTTTATTATACATCTCTAAACGCTCATTGATAAATGCAGGCCAGGGATTCAGCTACATATAACGAAGAGAGAGAAGGAAAAAAAAAAATCAATAGATTATTAGAGTAATCTAATATCACATCATGTCAAGAATGCAAATAGAATGGATATACTTTTCACAAGCAGCTATGTGACCATATCTGTATACGTGCTATATCTAACAAATAATGATGATTACTTGATTAATTATGATGATTAATTATACAGTATTCATTCTATAGTAATTTACAAGAATTCAGCTTAATGAAAATTATTACTTTGAAATGTACCACTGCATACCTACTTAATAAAGTACACATATGTTAATAAGCTACTACACAGTTTATTAAACACCTGCTGAATAAGCTATACAAGGACAAAAATAAATTTGAAAAGACTATAGAAGTTAAACATAAAGCCACATTTTTCTTATTAGGTCAAAAAACTGAGGGAACACCTCTACTCTGAGCCACCCAGACTGGAACTGACTCCAGCCTACACGTCATATAATGACATCAGGGCTATCAGCCTGGGCATAAGCAAGGTTATACGGCTATGCAGCTGGCTCGGGATTAGTGCTGGCTAGCAGCTGGCCCTCTCTGTGCACAGTCAGGGGGATCTGTGTTTACCCACCACGAAGACCGAAAAGGCAGAGCACCTCTCCTCATCCCAGAGATCTCCTGCCTACCTCCTGGTGCAAGGAGAGGCGCGGTGAAAAGAGCGACTATGGAAATCAGAGCCACTCTCCCATTACACCAATACCACCTGGTGTAAAAAGCGACTGAGTCACTTCACGGCAAACTTTAGTAAAATAAGAAATAGTGGGGAAAGAAGTGTAACGCCAGATAAAATAGGTCAGAGGGGTAAACTGCAGCAGTACACACGGCAGCAAGCAAGAGACCGCATCTTTCAATCCCCCGTGGCCCAAGGGCAGCTCACCTCCGTCCGCCCTCCATCGCCGGCCCCTTCCTTCATTTTCTTCTTTCCGCGGTCTGCCTTTTTTTGTTCCCCAGCTTCTACCTGAGGAGGGCGAGCACCATTTCCTCATTCTCCAGCAGTCGCTCACACCGACGGGCGCTTTACCCCCCCACCCCCACCCCTAGCCCCACACACCTGGGAAGAGACCCGACCCCTTCGCCCCGGGAAACCCCAGCCCAGCT